ATGTCATAATATTATCATTTAAATCAACAGTAAGACCTTGCCTGAAATGCTGAGGAACTGATAATCTCTGTAGCTCAAAAGAATATTGCAGAACTATAGTTTGTTCAGAAAATAAAGTAATTAAAATGACAAAAGAAATTAAAAAAAACCCCAGAGATTGCTTAGCCTTAAAAGGTCAAATAGAGAAGATAATAAATACATTTGATTTCCCTTACACCATCTCACTCTGATTTCTTACATGTAATACAAGGGACCTTCCATAAAATTAAAGAGTGTTAAATTCAAAATAAAATCAAAGAACACTTATTAAATTGTGGAAGTACTTGCTTCATGACGCCACTGAAGCCAAGAAATTAATGAGGTTTTAAAAGAGTCTGGGTAATTATATGTTTAACAAGATTATTCAGAGTAGCTATAATTATAAACAACTTTTTTTGGAAGGGATTTGAAACCACATATTTTAGGATTAAAGTCATTCTCACACTAGGAGAGATCAGGATAAACTGTAACATTGCAAAAGGGTATTCTCTTATTTGCTGTTGTTCTTATCCAGCAGGTACCAGTTATTTCAGCATGAGGATACTGGTTCAAATGGGTAATTCCTATGCTAGAAACTCCTCGGACAATGCAGGGGACATGGGAAGTTCTCAGACCCTGTCTGTTCTGTCCTGTATGGAATTTAATGCAGCTACACTTGGAGACCTGGAGCAAATGAGAGCTCGCAGTGCACTACATGTTCAATGTAGGCAGAGGACAAACAGCCTGTCACTGTTTAGAAGGACAAAGTTGGAGAACCAAGCATTTTATTGCTTCTGTGTGCCAAGGGACACAGGAGTCGAGAGATAGATGAAGTAATAGACTTGAGGAACAAAGCAAGTTCATGGCCAAAGTGAGAACCATGCTCGTCCTCCTGATTCCAGCCCAGTATTTTGACTCCAGGCCAAACTCTCCTCACATTCTTCTCAAACTTTAGTTTATTTAAGAAAAAAAATCCTCTACTTCCTTATTCTTTTATTTTTTTTCTCTTTTGAGATCCCAAACTAATCTCTGACTTCTGCAGAAAAGAGGATGCGTGGAAGATTTTGGATCAAGCTTGCCCCAGATTATGAGACAAAGTAAGGACATAATGGTCCTATTTGCTTTCTAGGAGATCATGCATGAGAAATAAGCTTCACTGGGCAAGGCAGCAAGTGCCTTGGGAGGAAGTTGCATTGAAAACTACAATTTTTTTTTTCCAATTAAGATCAACACCTCTTCTAAAGTTTAAGTTGTACAATTGCAGAAGGATTTTCCTTCCTGCCACTGTCACTTAAAACATTAAGCAATTCATCCACAGTCTCAAGCAAAGGCTACTTCCTTTCTAATACCTATCAGACTGTATGCACTGTATCTGCATTTTGGCACATAAACTACCATCTGCTCCAAATCAGAAATGTCGAACTTTCAGCTGCAGCTGGGAGTTAACTGTTCTTTCTTATTTTCTTCCACCTTTCACACCTTGTGACTGGCATTGTGCTTTTCGGCATTTGCAATCCAGGCCTGTCTCCAGCTGAATTCACCTGCTTTAAATTTTCTGAGCCCTAATAAAAAAGGCCTGCAGACACGTTTGCTCCAAGTGTGCAACCATTTAGGGGTGGTAATGAGTTGGACTGCAGCCTGGTATCTGGCAGACCTTCCTACTCCATGACTCACTGTTAATTAAAACCACACTCTTTGCTTATTCCTGGGATAGCATTACTTACAAATAATTGAGAGTCTCCCTGCCTTAGAGCCTCCTCCCCCAGTTCTGCTCTGTAGAATAAACTTTTCTGATGGAGATCTGTTTCCCTTAAAGTTGGATGCAACGTAATGGAGAAAGACATCCATTTTACAATGAATCCCTGTTGTTCTTAATTTGGATTCTGATACTTTTTCTTGTTTTGAATTGCATCTCAATCCACAAGCAATCTGATCCATCATGGCTGGTTTCTCGAGGCTTCTGCCATGCCAATATGCAGCACACAAACTTGCTGCTCAACTGGAGGCATTTTTACAGCATGCCCATATATCAACTGAAAAGAGATGGGCTCACATAGACCTTTGAAAAAGTCAATTTTACCAGTATTAAACCAATTATTTAATAGGTTTTCCTATACAGAAATGTTGGAAGGAGCAAATAGATTAACCTTTCTTTTTTAATTAAGCCTAGTTTGATAGTATTTCACTCTCCCGTAAAGCAAAGAGGTCTGGGAATCATTCAATGTAAATAATTTAATGCAAGAAAGTAAAGCTGCAAGACACTGCCTTGGCTTGGAAGTGCTGATTTCTTGATTTATAGAACCATCTGTGGCTAGACATCTATCAACTTGAAAAGTTACCTCTCTAAGGCTCTGCTAAGGCTGTTTAAATCAGCTGATGCATTCTTAACAAAATCTCCTACCACAAACTTCTCAGGACTGGTGGCAGGAACTCTCAGCAGCAGCTCTTCAACTTTAGAATTGGCTACAGGACTGGTCTAACAAACCCAGGACTATTTCCCTTGGAGGTACAGTACCAAGCTCAGCATTTTGCTGAAGTGTCTTTTTGTAGGACAGTTGTTGCTGCAACTCAGTTTGTGTTTTCTAATTCAATGGAGTTACAGCATCAGTCACAAGCTGCACCACCACAGAACCACAGGCATCAGTCAGCTCATGCAGAATTCAAAGAACTGGACACTTACTAAGTCTTCCCTTTTCCAGTGTACTCTACCAAGAAAGAATTGCAAATTATGTGAAACCTACACAGTTTGGACTCATTTTAGACCATGTCAACATTCTCCCAAATTCAGACACTCAGTGGCCTGTTTTGCATATGCATTAGGTTCCTTACAGTCATTCCTGCCAAATACATATTCCTAACAGATTCAGCTGCTTCTGTCTCCTCCTAACTAGCAGAAATGATTCCAGGATGTTATTTGCAGACACCTAGAAAGAGAAAACTGAAGGTTGGAAAAATGTGTTTAATTGCTCTTTGATTTTCCACACTCCATTTCACTCAATCTTTAAAAAGCTAGCAGATTACTCTGATGGAGGTTCATCATTTTGGCCGTGAAGGGCAGAATTCCTCAAAGTATTTGGGATCCCCTCATATAACAGAAAACATTATTCCTTTTTTAAAAAATGCCTGTGATATACCTTTGGGTGTCACTAAATCTAAACACAGCTGCTATGTTCACTAAATATTCTGCAATACATGCAGTTTACAGAACATAAATAAAATTCACTGGGTTTTGATGTGAAGAAAAAAAAACATATTTACACATATTTCTATTTGCCCAGTATTCATATTTCTCTGCAGTCAGAGTTTTCTTCTCTCCCTCCTTCCCTTCTGGAATACTCTTGCCTTGGCCTTGAGGTAGCCAGTCCAGGACCAGCTGGATATAAAGCTACACTCTGTGCTATGCAATTAGTGTTTGTTAGCTCAGTTTTTTTGCTTTCACTGTAGGGAACGACTATTGAACCCTGCCTGGAAGCCAGCAACCATCCTCCTCAGGACACCGAGCTCCTTTTGACCCAGATTCCAGGCTCAGCCTCATTTCTGAACCTAAGAAAAAGAGAATATATAAACATCATCATCTGGTTTCAGAGGAACCAAACTATGCCCATCTTTCTTCTGAGTTTCTGCCATCGGATTACTCCTGTTTTGTTCTTGTGAATACTTCCTTTTCAGAAGATCAAGAGCACCAAAGATGTCTGTTGGAGCTTACTTTGGTAAAATAAAACTCATTTAAGAGGAGAGCTGAACACAAACCATTCTAATAAAGCCACACTTCTTTCATTTTTTGGGTATAGCCCAAGGTTGTAGGCTGCTGCAAAATCCATTTTGCACAGCGTCAACGATGAAGCAGATTTAAGGCTGATAAAACCAGGTTCCAGGAGACACAAAGCTTTGCATGTGCACATCAGACCAAACCCTATCCTCCAATGTGCAGTTAAAAAGCTGCAACCTTCAGGCAATCCTCAGCTGCCAGGAGAGCCCATAAGAATTCCAACTGCAACTGAGTATAAAGCACAGCCCTGATATTGATCTCTCATGTGCTAGAAACTTGACCAGCTTCTGGCACTGCCACAATCCAGACAACCTGGCAACATGCAGAGAGGCCTCTTTTTACTCTATATAGTGGCACCAAAATGGGCAACTGATCCCCCTAAATATTTCACTCACTTCAAAGTTCAATTTCTGTTTGAAATGAGCAAGTTGAAATCGTCTCCCCTAAAACTGGTGTTTTGAGAGTAAAGAAGAAAACATTCCACCCATATGTAAAAGAAGACAGAAAATGAGCCCCAAGCCATGCTAGACAGTCTGATAAAAAACATGTTAAGATTAGTAGTAGGAATTTCTCTGCACCCTGGCCCGAATTCCCACTGTGGCTTTTTATATTATAAAATTGTTTTCCGCTTTCTGTGGATTTTTCTGCTTTTGGTATCTCTGCTTCTCTTCTCCCCACTAGTAAAAGACACAGCAAACACATCAACACTTCCAGCTAAGTAATTTACCCAAATCATTCTCAATCTCATTCGGTATGACCAAAGTTCTAGATAACTCCTTCCATGAACTTAATATACAGTCTCTCTTCCATTCTTTAAGAGTAAATTACGATAATCACTCAGACGCTGCTATTATACTTGGGTAACAAATTTGGAAATAGCAGTGCTACCTAAGAAACTGAGCATTGTATGTAGCAGAACCACCTTGTCAGATTTAACCAGCATCTCTGGTGAAGAACAACTTGTAATGGACTGTCATGATTATTTCTTAACTCAAAATTATTTTAAAAATCCTGTAGCGTATCTACCACTTTTCATATTCTGCTTTATTTTCTCAACATAATAACTTTAGATTTTTCCACTTCAAAACCAATCATTTCATTTCCTGAAAGAAAGTTTACTTCTTAACATAGCCAGCCCTCATGAAACCATTTCAGAACACAGGAATGTCAAAGCTCACTAAAAGCCATACAGATAGAAATGTGTATTTGATACCATCTCCTCATTTTCAAACTGCATGTTGCACTGTGCTGCATCCTCGGTTACTGGCTTCTGAAACATGTTGCGGCAGAGGAGCCATATTGTCAGACTAGCAATGAACATCCCAATATCTGGTACAAATAGTCTGATCACGTTCCCAGCATCTGCTCCTTTCACACTGTATGAGATGAAAAAAAACAACAAAAAAACAAAGAAACAGTTGTTACTTCTAATGACATTTTCAACTGGAACAGAAAGTAAGCTCAAGGCAAAGAAAAAACCCCAAACTCCCAGCAATAAGAAATCTTTGCAATATGTGAAATATGAAGAAGATCAAGAAACTCTAGACAGACAGACATTTTTGCTCTCCAGAAGTACAGAATAAGTGATTGTTTGTTTGGAGCTTGCACACTCATATTTTAGTTATACTAAGCATTTTGATTAACCCAATTCTGAATCAATTTTTTTGAGAGAAATACAGGAATAACTTCCAAATTCAACAAGAAAGATTTCAGCTGAGTACCTAGAAAAACCATCTGTATGAAGCACAATCCTTTTACCAGCATTTATTGCAAAGACAACAACATCCAGGTCCACCAAGGACAAAGATGTTACCCTTAAGTGTGCCCTAATTCTTCTTCCTGGCACACAGAGGAATAACTAGAAAGTCTTTAATATTTTAACATATTTTATGATCTTAACTGTTTATACATTTTATTCAACAGACTTAATACCTTAATACCTTTTTGGGTATTTAAGTACAAATATTTAAATTCTAATTAATGTGTTCAACCCCTGCCAAGGAAGCCTTTCTTCCCCTCGGAAAGATCTGTAAGGCATGACGATTTTTATGTAAGAAAAAAAATTGCATTGTTTCATTGTGCAGATTTAATTGCTTATACTCAGAAATATGACTTTCTGAATTTGGATGTGGTGTCTGAATTTGGTTCACTGTTAAAAAGGAGAGCCTGGATTTAAGTTAAGTGGCACAACGAATAGTTTATTAAGCTGCTGAATGCACATATTAAACTCTTAACTATTAATGAGAGGATATAATCATAATTAAATGAAAGTGTGAAGTTAAGGCATTTTAAATATGCAGGTCCAATTTTATTTTTTATAGGACTTTATGTCTATAATCAGTTCTGAGGACATTAGTTTAGTCCCTTGGGCATAGGTGACTGCAGCAGGTCTTCATAGCCTGAACTGGTAGAAAACCAAATAGGTTATTTTATAGATGCAAAGACAGAGGGGTCACCTCTGGCCTTCCTTCATTACAGCTTTGAAGCCTAAAAGAAACTGTTTGTGAAGGAGTTACCTGCAACTGCTGTGATTAAATGCAGGCCTGAAGTATCAAAAAAGTCTCTAATGTGATTACAATACAACCACTGTTGAGAACCGTGTGGGTCTGCTCATACATCCACGATCAAATCCAACATTTCCATCAGTGCTGCTGACCCAGCTTTTCCACTGATGTGTATCTTGCAAAATAACATATGCTCAGAGTGGGGTTAAGGTAAGTGATCAGAAAGCTGGCTTTAATGTTTGTTTCAACAGCTTAACCCTGAATGGTCATGCACTGTATGGCAGCTAAGTAGCTTGAAAATATTTCGCTAATGTCTTTCAGTTGTCCTGAAACAGAGAAAAAAAATTAAGTAGTTGAAAGGCTTGCAAAAGAGTTATATGGCAAAGTCCTTGCTGGACTGCTTCCTTGTTTCTTGTGCCACTGGTACCAGCACAGAATGCTGTAGAGTCAACTGGTTTATGAAAGCGTGGCCACTCTGGTTAACATTACAGAAAATCCAGTCTTGGCATGATCCCCCCATTCATTTTGCAGTATGGTGGCTCTTAATGTCACTGAAGACTGGCCCAGGCTACACCTCGGCAGAAAGAAGTATAAAGTACACATTCAATGAATCTTTTTCCAAATGACAGTGTACATGGCTTTCATAATAATGTTAATGAATTTTTTTCAAGAATCCTGCTCATTGTGCTGAAACAGGCCTCTTAAAGTGGTTTTACTAAATATCTGGCAAAAAAAAATCTCAAGTCTTGATTCTGAAAGTTTCACTTGAGTAATTTTTTGAAAGAGTTGAAATACACCCTCAATCCAAAATTAATGAGTGTAAGAACAGTAGAAATTTGCTAGACTCATGTTGAAAAATAGGTCAGACTACTTCTATGTAACACTTCTGTAGGTGATATTTTTCTTTACCCAAATCGGAAGTCTTTATTAATTGAAAACCAAAAATTACTTTTGCATCACTTCTGAAGTCCTTCAGATTCAACCACTCACATGGGTACAAATTAAAAAGTGGCAGCCTCCAAGTACCAACACTTAGTTGCACCAGGTTCTCCTTCCTCACATTGTACTCCCATGGAGCCATGCTGGGTATTCCTTCACATATCCCCCTCCCCAGACCAAGGGGATACCCCTGTGGGAGCCCTCCCCCTGGTTCAGCTCACATTTCCTTCCAAACCAAGTGCTTCTGAAGTTTCAAAATAAATCATTTAGTGTGTCGTTGCGAGAGATGTAGCATACAGCTCAGGCTAGCAACAAAGAGCCTGAACAGTAATACCCAACCACAGAGCAGGGAAAAATCCTGCACATGAATAGTTTATTCACCAAAACCAGTTGGAAATGTACGCTGCCCCCACTTCCTTATGAAGAGGAAAACAAATTAACCTCGGTGTGATAATTAAAAAGGAAACAAAAGATCACTTGAAAGTAGAGAAATGCATATTCTCCTGTAAAACAGAATAATAAACTGCTTCATTCGAACCCAAGTAATTTGCTCCCCACTTTTTCACAGCAAAACCTAAAACAAAAATCAGTTATTCCCACTTGTTATCTCTGGCAATACAAAAAAGAATGGCAAATCCTGCGATCATTCCACAAACATTTCTCACTTTATTTGCGCATTCACACATGGCATATTTTGCATTTGATAACAGTTTATACATTGTGCTCTTTCCTCCAAAAGAGGCTTTCAAACTATGAAGTTAAACAGAAGAACAGGAAACCTATTCAGGTCTCCTACAACAACAGCTTTTTTTTTTTTTAATCCCTGCAAGAATCTCATGGTGTTCAATGAATTGGTCATAGCCTTTGATCTACAGTTGGTAAAACATAATTTATTCACTTAAACTAAATAATTTACCTACAGGGCAGCTTTAGTTGTAATAGATACCAGTGACTGAAGCTTATAACTCAGCCAGAAACATATTCTGTAGTGAAATTACAGTAAATGGCAGCTTTAGTTTTTTCTTCTTTCTTACAGAATGCAGAAGAAAACAGCATGGATACATACACATACACACACATATAATAGATAAGGGGTTTGAAATGGTTTTTTACTTTCCCTTAACCAAATAAATCAAATTGCACACAATTTTTAAGAGAAGGGACTACTACAGTCAGGGTTTCAAGAGTTCCTCTGTAACAAAAATAACTTCTGTAGGATAAAAGGAATTTCATTGATTTTTCTGTCAATGTGTAAAACTGTTTTATCATATCAACAGACTCCTAATACAGCAGTTTCCTCATCAGACAATGTGTTCCCCAGCTATTTTAGCTAAACACTTTAAATTTACAACTTTACAAAGGGATCATCTGTATTTTCTGTGTATATACAGAATTTTTCTAGTTCAGCGTGACCCTGGTCTATTCCTGAATTTCAATGCTGCTCAAGAAACTAAGCAAAATTTTCTATTTTATCTGCATGGAGAATAGAGTTACCTGTGGACATACATGTTAAAATCATTCTCTTACTTCATGTACACTCACTAGTAGTCAGACATAAAAAGAAATGCCAGCATAATGAAATATTACATTCTTGTTTGGAGCTGTAGAAATCAGCATTTATAAAATAAAGGGGTTTTTTTTTAAATAAAAGTTTTACTTTTTGCCTTTTTAGAATAACTGTTACTCGCAAATTAGAATTATTCATCTCCTACTGAATGTACAAAGCTTTGGTGAAGAGTGAAGTGTTAATACTGCCACACCTGGCCTGATTTAATTTCTTTAGAATGGCAGACATTCTAACTTCCTCTGTATTTCACATTTACAGAATAAAACCAGAAAGACAGGAGAACTATTAGAATTAGAACTGCAATGGTTTCAATTTTAAAAAGTAAAATCTATAGTAAAACACCCGTGAGATACCATGCATAATGTATAAAATAGTCCACATACAAAATGAATACCAACAGTCTTCAACTTTAAATATGTACTATTTTGTTACAAATAAGCAAAAATGGGAAAGAACAACCAGTCTTTCTTAAACAGAACTAAAATTAATTCGGCATCAGCAATATATCACAATGTTAAGCTTATGTTAGACAATGAATAAGATAATGCTTCCAGATTAAATAACTGTAAAAAGCTTGATTTTATACTGGATAACAGGTAAAAAAGTGTTTTAAAGGTTAGTTTTTATTGCAGTTTGAAAAAGTTATCAAAAGTCTTATTCATGCATACTGCATCTTTCCATACATGCATACATCTATCCTTTTTTCCTCTCAGGGGTTTTCTATAGCATATCTTTACTTTCTAATTAATTTAATAAAACAAAAAAGATAATATTGTATTAACAGTTAGCAATTATAAAAGGAAGAAATGCATAGATGCTAATAATTTCCATTCATCTTTCTGGTGACTGTGAAACATCTGATATTTCTAATTGGATCTAATATTTCAGGGTAATTAATGCACTGCTGTAAATGCTTACAGCTGAATTCCCATGGGCTTCATCTGCAACTGTAGTCATTTAGTTTGGAGGTAAAACAGACCCAAGAATCGTAAGCATGGACCCCTGGAAACACAGACTGGCAGCATTTCATAGGTGCTATGCAGTACTGTGAATAATTCATTTGTTTATTACTAATATCGTCTCTGATCCAAAATTAGTGGAAACTTCGAGGGTACCAGAGGCTACTAACCAGATGGCCTTAGAGATGTGCCTGCTGATCCTTGCAGTTGGAAGAGGATGTTGGGAATGGTTGCATCTAGAAGCTAGTTAAAGAGGCTCCTTATCCTGTCTCAGTTTGAAATAAGGATGAAATGTCTGATCCCATACTTACTCTGCTGGGAAACTCCCACTTATCTGAGTCTGAGGATTGCAGACCTGGTCTGAGCCACAACCAGCACTTCAGTGAACATAGGATGCTCACAGTCTA